GTAATGTGCGCAGTAGCATGCGGAATGAAAATTGCCCTTATCGTAACTTCGTTAACGTTTGTCGTGCCCGCAGGTCAGTGGAGTGAGAAGCGCATCGGTGAACCCGACGAGACACACAAAAACGTGGGATTCCGGTGGGTGCCCACAACACCTCTGAAAGGGAAGAAGCGTGCAGCGAAGAATGCTTGAAGACCGAAGTCCTTGATGCCTGCCGCGGGTTGACAAGAGGCCTTGCTTCCCTGAGCCCATAGGGCATGAGCATGCTGGCGCGTGCGAATTACCTAGTAGTGCGAAGGATGTCGATCTGCCGATTGAACTAGAAGAGATCCAAGATGACACGAAGGATCGACTAGGCGAAAGATAGACGGCGGCGTGTGCGCGGCGTAGACCATGTTAGACTTGACTGTTATACACCTAAATATTATACTTCTTCATATCGCCTGAATAAACACTACATAAGAAAACTGTTAAACACATACTAGAAAGTAATACACGAAAAGAGTCTGTATATGTAAATCCTATTGCAAGTTAAGGAAGAAGAATACTAAAGTTGATTGTGACTACGCTAACTACTATTAGGAAGAGTACTACTAAGAACAGTTAAGAGCCTAAGGTGCTAACTCCCATATTGACTACTAAGACCTAAGGTAAGTAAGAAGTGGTGACTACTAAAGGCTATCCCGGCTAGGCGATTAAAGCTAATATTTAGATTAGTATATAAGATATAAAGTCAAACTAACTATTAGTATAGCAGGCTGGCGTCATCGCATGAAGATGGAATATGAATAACAGCGATGAAAGTCCGATAACCGGAGAGGCGAATAGAGGCGACCGCTCAGGATGATGCAATGGCGGCGAAGTGACGTGGCTACGGTTCGCGCGCAGTTTGAAGGCGCAGGCAACCAAGGTCCTGTGCCGATGGCGCGAGTTTGAACCGGTATTTCGCCCTGCCTCTGACCAGCTGCTTTAGAGCACCTTTACTCGAGGTCGTGGCTGTCACGACACCGCTGCTTTCTGGGCTATTTTTGTGTAGGAGGTAAATCGAACCTCCCAGAAACCGAGCTAGCCTTGGTAAAGCGGATCATGGTGAGATAATGCGTTTTTTTTCTTCTGGGTCAGAATCCATAGAGACAACGAATGACCACAAGTCCATTTGTTGGGTACGCCACGCCTTGACTTCCCCTCAGAATAGTGACAACATTTGAACGATTATTTGGCCCGACCAATAAGTTGTGTGGAACAACAACTTTTATTTTTTCCCTGGATTGAGTGGGAGCAATAAAGCGGCCACAAAAGAATGAAAAAGTAAAAGTTGACTTAAGCGAACACGAATTTCAATTTGACTCTTCTGTAATCGGCGAATAATATGGCGATGCGCCTCACTGATGCCTCCTTTTCCACTTCCGTCGGTCATCACTTACAAGTCACTTTGACCTGAATATTGGATGTTGGATGCGTGGCGCATGCCAGAGAATCGGTCAACCTATTTCATTCTTATAGGCCACATCCCTTGGTTGGGAGAGCTTATAAGAAGACACATTGAGTTTAAACGGTTAACAGTAAGATTTCCATCCTATCTTTGACCCATGACGGACAACGTGCCCCACATGGTGGCGCACGACGCTATTTCTTTTGTTTTTGAATGTTTCTAGCAATCTTAATATACCCGTATATACTCTCAGCAATGTGGAATAACATATCTTCCCAGGACCTGGACGGCTGGATTTTTGACAAACCTACAATAAATTTTACATACATTTTGTCTTAATTTTACAATTTACTATTTGATGGGTGGCTTACCCATGGTTCGCACGTCCCGAGACCCCTTCCCCTAAATATAGCCACATCCTTGCTCGGGGTTGTTGTTTCGCATTTTTCGATAATGTCACCTACAGCTTCCATTCATTCTTTGCACCCTAGTTTTAGAGCGGAAAGGCGGGTTACGAAGTTGTCGTCAACGGAAATCTCTTCTTTTGGATGATGAGACACGGACACCTACTTTAGCCCCGTCTTAAACCCGCTGTTCGCATAAGGCTACACATATCCTACCCTGTGTGCCGACGTGTCCCGGGTTTCCCCCAGGAGGCCCGTCGCGCGGCAAGAAGGCAGAGTCGGCGGACGAGTTGCAGCGCGTGATGTGCGATGTAGGACGTGCAATGGGACACTCTATTTAACTTGACGCGAAATCCCTATAGTACGCGCGCGACTCGTCCGCTGACTTTGCCTTCTTGCCGCGCGACGGGCCTCCTGGGGGGTACCCGCGACGGATGGCGCAACGAGAGAAAACCCTGTCGTCCGTTACGTGTTAATGAACTTTTTTGTTATAAAGCTTTCAAAAAACTAAGCAGCTGGAATATTCTAACAAGTGCGTCTTGGCGCGTTCTAGCTCGAGGTGTATTTTCTTCATTTTGTTTTTATTTTGTCTTTTATTTTTTTTGTTTTTCTAGTCCAAGTTTTGATGATGTTCGGAGGGGGGAGGGGGCGGGAGGTTCATAGTTGTTCAATAGCTGTCATGCTTTTCACGAATTGCTTGATAAATCATCACGTGCGAAAATAGAACGGTTTCGGGTCGATGACGCGTACTTCAATCCAAAGGAACTAGCGGACAATTTTTTCTCGTTATCTCCTAGAAGAATGCTCAAACATTTCAGTGAATTGCTGTTTTCCTATCCACAAGCGATTCCTCCACCTTTTGCATTCATTGCAGAGGATAAAATCCAATTTTTGTAACTTTCAATACAATTTTTGAGGTGTATTTATAAATGGGTATTCAGGATATCGAAAAAATTCTGCTATGTAGGCTTCTGAACAAAGTTTCTTCCGAGGTTATCTTCCCGCCGACATGTTTATTTATTTGTTTATTTATTTATTTAATCATTTATTTATTTACGAATGTTGTTACAACGAAGATCAAATAATACGTATGGTGTGTTGTTTCTTCTGTGCCATACAGGATATCATGGTGGAACACTTTTATTAGTCAATGTTTCGACAACAACTTCATCTTCAGGATCTTATACTGTCCTAGCTCTGTAGTTCACTCGGTAAAGCGCTTAAAGGAATCTTCCACGGAAAAAGCTCCGCCCTCATTACCACAGAAAACGATACCTTAAAGGAATCTTCCACGGAAAGAGTGATCATTTTGTCTTGTGTGTAGGATTAGTATTATCGAAACTAACGCTTATGTTCCGTTCTTTTTGCTATGCTCATGAGGCTAGGGGCCTAAGGGGTATCGTTTTTCTGTGGTAATGGAGGCGGAGCTTTTTCCGCGGAAGATTCCTTTAATCTTGCCAAGCTCCCAGAAGTACGAAATAATGCAAAATTAAAGATCCCAGCGAACGAACTATCCTGTGGTGAGTCCACAAGGTCTTAGCAGGCTGCTGAGCAACATGAAAGATTTTGGCGTCATCGTAGGTCGGACAGCCTCCTCATCAAATCTTTCGGCTCTTTCTTTCCTTCTCACTTCATTTCTCATACTTCTTTTTTTCAAAGAGGCATTTTTTTGTGAAAAAGGTACAAGGCCTTAGAGCTCGCTACAGCCAAGATACTACTCAGTTACCCTCAATCAGTACCTTAAAGGCACGGAACGCGATCGGAATGGTGTGCTTTTCCGCTAGGGAGAGAAATGTGAAGAGAACAGTAAAAGAGGAAAATACCGAGTAGAGCCACAGAAAATACCAAAATTGAAGGCCTCTGCTTGTGAGTTCGACCGCGGTACAAAAGAGAGATCCAGCGCTGAGAGGAGAAAGAGTCGTGAGAGAGCATGGTGTACGAGAGGACGCAAATTGCATGTGTAGCGAATTAGTGACAGGAAGTTGAAACCGCAGCGGTCGCAGCAGCCAAAACATGATCTTAGCACCTTTGCGGCGCACTTGCGTCACGCATGATGCTTTAGCGACCCTGCTGTTCACCCTTGAAGAAACTGCTTCGAGAATAAAGGCCTAATGGTAGACTCTGATCATTTCAGTTATCCTTAAAGGAATCTTCCACGGACCATGGACCAGTGGGCGGGACCGGAAGTTTTTGTGACGAAATGCATGGTAGGTACGGATCCACGTGTCGAACGCACGAACGTGAACAGGATTCACTTCAAACCTTCCCATGAACGTGGATCCGTACCTACCATGCATTTCGTCGCAAAACCACTTCCGGTCCCCCTGGTCCATGGTCCGTGGAAGATTCCTTTAGGTCCTCTCTTCAGACGTCCCTATGCAGAGCTATAAACGCCTCAACAGCTCGCTGCTTCCCTGTTTCTTTGATATTTGTTTTGGTTTTGTTTCTTTTTTTGTTCTCGATCATTCTATGAGAACTAACCCACTCTGTTGTTGTCATGGCGCACCAATGAGTGCATAAATAAATAATAAGTAAATTTCAGCCCCAGTTTAACATAATACAGTAAGGCGAGGAAGCTCTAAAGGCCTCTGACCCTTGCCTCCAATTTAGATGCAAGAAGAAAGAGAAAGAAATTCTGAAGTAGAAACGATATTCATTGGATCAACAGCAAAATACCCATAAGATCACAGCAATTATCATCAGTAATTTGTTCTACACTTTGTACAATCATTGAATTCGTGCTCTTGCTTGGAAGGTGATGCATCCGACATCCGCCTTGGTGACGTCGTCATGTAAAATCATCTGAAGCTGATACGGAGCGTCGTCCTTGAGCAGTGAAATGATGGCTC